GTATTTCCTCAAAAAATGTAAAAAAAAAAACTAGTTATAATTGTAACGGGGACCGTTACAGATGTTCCCCAAACGCTCCCCAACTCCCTTTTGGTGTCTTATTTCCTGTAAGCTTCATTAAATAAGGCAATGAAGTATATTGATCGTTTTTTTCCATTTCACGCGCGCGCACGTGCATACATGTGCAGTATGACCATGTCATCCCGTCTATACTATTAATGTATCTTTATATTCTCAGTATCAAAACATTTCATCAAAAATATAAGTTCCGGCTATATCAAGTATACTGGTCATCTTAGCATTGCGCGCACGCGCACCTGCATGCATGTTCATAATGACCATGCCATCTTGTGTACACTTATAATATGTCTGTTTATTCAGAGTATCAAAGCTTTTCATCAAAAAATATAAAAGTTACGACTATATTAAGTATATTAATCATTTAACACATTGCACGCGCGCGCATGTGCATGCATGTGCATGATGTCCACATCATCTTGTCTACACTTGTAATATATCTGTATATTCTTAATATCAAAGCTTTTCATCAAAAAATATAAAAATTACGACTATATTAAATATATTGGTCATTTAACACATTGCATGCGCGCGCACGTGCATGCATATGCATGCATGTGCATGTTGACCATGTCATCTTGTCTACACTTTTAATATATATAAATATTTTGAGTATCAAAAAAGTTACGTCTATATCAAGTAAATTGGTCATTTTACGATTTGCGCGCACGTGCATGCATGTGCATGTTGACCATGTCATCTTGTCTACACTTTTAATATATCCTTGTATTCTGAGTATCAAAGTATCAAAGCATTTCATCAAAAAATATAAAAGTTACAGCTATATTATGTATATTGGTCATTTTACGCTTTGCACGCGCACGCACGTGGGTGCACGTGCGCGCAAAACGACCTTCGTTCCGCAAATCTACATAACATGCCTAGTAACCCTAAAAAGGTTTTAACTCAATTGGATGTGCAGTTTCCGAGAACACTCGCGGACAAAAAAGTACCGGAGAAGAAATAAGAATAAAAAAGAATAATAATAATAATAATAATAAGAAACCGAGTAAAAACAATATGTTCCCAAACTTCGTTTGGGGAACATAATAACGGCTATATGATTTATATCAGTCTCTTCACTCATTACACGCGCCTACGCCTGCAGGCATGTTCCTGCAAATGACTTTCAAGGAGTAGATCTACATAGTACGCATACTAACCCTAAAAGTTTTAAAACTCAGCTGGATGATGAGCAGTTTCCGAGAACACTCGTAGGCAAAAAAGTACCGGAAAATAAGAGCAATTAATAGCCAGTGCTTACTGTAACGTGAACTGTTACAGGTGTTCCTAATACGCATCCGCACTCTTCTCTGGGCCCCATTCCTACAACCTTCATTAAACTAAGCAATTCTATTGTTAAGTAACACTTTATGTTTAGAAGTATTTTATCAAAATACAATGCTATTAAAGTCCTTTGAGTACGGTACTTACCTGTTATATATCAGCGCGCGTGAATGCCCGCATTGTACGTATTTTCCCCGTAAACAGTTTCTCTATTAATACCCCAGTGTGAAATTTGACATTATTGACAGCTCCTTTTTCAATAATAAAGGATCTTGTAAATTTACTTACCCTGTCATTGGTCATTTGCGAAATTATTTTGTTCAAAAAGACACAAGTACTTTGATTGTACAACAAGTATTTTGAAGTTGATATAAAAAGATGCCCGAGTTTCTGATTGAAAATATCTATGTGGTTTTTGGAGACCAGGTTTTCCAACAACCTGTTGGAACTCCCATTGGTACCAATTGAACCCCGTTTTTAGCAGGACTATTTTCGTATTCATATGAAGAAGAATTTATTCAAAATCTTATACTTCTTATACATGAGAAGACACTTGCTGTGACCTTCATCTCGACATTTAAATATATCGACGCCGTATAATCAATTATCAATAGTTATTTCCATTCATATGTCGACACGATATTTCCCAGTGAGCTTGACATAAAAGAGTCGTAAAATGCAGAAAACTGGTCTTCAGTCTTAAAAAACGGAAGCTTTCGAAACTCTCGGATTTTATCGAAAAGGGGGTAAAAAAAAAAAAAAAAAAAAAAAAAAAAACATGGATACCAACAATAGTCCGGCAAACAAGACGCTGGAGTCGAATAAGGTAAAGATTAGATTTATACGTCAAATAAATTTGATTATTCTTTTGAATATTGTAATTAAAGATCCGTCTACGAAATGTAAGATGTACATGAATGTTGTACGACAGATGTACATGTATTAACATTGTCAAGATCATTCGTGTTTCAACGTTGCACGTGGTCGTTCGATGTTGTGAAAATAATTTTTTACATTCACTTTGAATTACCACGAGAGATTCATGTTTTGTTAGGTAGAGGATAAACGCTAAGATTCCGTCTCAATAATTTTTTTGTTTTTCTTTAAAAATAGGTTTACATTGTTTTTCAATTAATATGCTGGCACTTTATGATAACCGTAAGAACTTGATCCATTGAACGATGATTAGTTTAAGAAGTATTTTATTCACGATATACATATATGGATTAATACAATGAATATGAATTGAACAGCAGGCAAAAATGGCCTATATTAGTTCTCTCCATTAAAGATCAAGGTACAAATCATGAAATGTTACAATAATATATATATATATATATATATATATATATATATATATATATATATATATATATATATATATATATCACAACTTTTACAAAGACATGTATTTTTACTAATTTTTAAGGAGGATACAATGTACAAAATCATCCAATGATTATCACCTTGTACCAAAATTTGCCTGTTATTTGATATATATGAAGCTCATTTTAATGATCTAATTTGAACTTATTTTAATCAATGAGTTTCCAGATGTTAGGGAGATTAATTAAACCTTATTGACTATCTGAAATCATTAAGCATGATTAAGCTTTCTAAGCACTTTTAATATTACTTTTTGGTGGTATATACCAATGTACATGTAGTATTTAAACAAATAAAACTTTTATTCCGGTTGTTTGCTGTAGCTAGGAGTCCTGTGACACCACGCCACACATACCATCAATCCAGTATATGTGTTATATGTGGATTTTCTTTCGTGCAGTCAGAAATTTCAAAAACTGTTGCAGTAATAGAGAAAAAATATTTGAACAAAAAATTAAAAATTAATGAGGAGCGATGTAAGCACATTACAAAAGTACTGCATCAGTTTGAAACAGAACACAGTGTGAATGGAATCTGTATTACCTGTTACAGGAAAATTGAAAAAAGTAAATCAGATGCAAAATGATTTAAAAACTCTACAGAAAGAGTTGAATGAATTCCGGTCTTCTGTCAGAGAACTGTATCAATTAACATGCAAAAAGTCGCAAGAAAAGAAAACAGATACTCAGAAGAGGCTTCTTAAGTCTCCATTACAACAACCACTGAAACATCAGAAGACACTACCATTTAACTACTCTGTGGTACACCTTTGTGAATTCCAAGTTATAATAAAATCATATCAAGTACATGTACTGATATTCCATCAAGTTCATCGGTGCTTAAGGAGAAAAAACAATCTGCAAAGAGATCTCTTGGTTTTTCCACCTGTAATACCACAGATAAAGAAAATGAAGTTGATTGTTTGATTGGGGAAGTGAAGGTAATATATGTTTTTATGTATTAATTAAGTTCTTTAACTAACCCAGTTACTGTTTAAATTAGACAAAAGAACAGGAGGTCAATGCATATGTGTATAGTATCAAAAAATGTGGAAATGATGTTATGTTTGTGGGCAAAATAGCTAAAGTTACAGTCCACAACATCTTATGTTTGAGCACACAAAAAATTATATGCTTGATTCAGTTCCTTGTCTACGTTGTTCATATGATATAGCCAGATTGATTTCTTTGTGTGTTTTAGGAATTCAAAATAACCCTCATAATGTTTGCCTGCATGACCCAGGTCCTGAATCATATTTACACAACTTTTAGTCACATGGATGTTTCCTGACCCCAGGGTAAGGGACAGTGATCTAACAAAATTTTATTTTATGAAACTCAGGCTAGGGGAGGGTGGTCTATAGAAATTTTAGATTATAGTTTCTGTGGCTGCTTGCAACACCTACACATACTTTTCATGAACAACATCCTATGGTGGCATATTTCTGCCACCACTTGTCGGATATTTATAGATGTAACGTTCTCAGATAATTATGTTAATTAGTCAGATAATGATCATTATGTCCAGGAACTCTGTATCTTGTTTCTAAAGCATGTGAAAGCCACTAACTGACATCTACTTGTCATCATAATATCTGACAAGTCAGCATAATGTTCTGACAAACAGATATAATTTTCTGACAAGTCAATACAATTTTCTAACAAGTGGGGGGGGGGGGGGGGCAGAACTATGCCACCATAACATCATATTAATTTAAAGTAAAAAAAATTGACACCACTAAACATGCTAAAATATTCATATACCGGTATTATTACATGTATTAAATATAAATAGAACGATTAAAACAGAATGTCTTTCCAATCTGCGTACTGGCCCTTATAGTACCTTATTTTAAGTTTTGAAGGTTCACAAAACACACAATTAATTTATTTTGGCTTAAATCCATCATTTTCAGTTTTTTTTTTTTTTTTGGGGGGGGGGGGGGTGTTATTTATCGTTCCAATTTTTAGTTGTTTGTTTATGTATTGTGCATGACAATTTTTTTTTTCATTTTGTTTACTTACAGGAGTTTGCTTTTCCACTACTTTTTATAGACACCAATACAAAAGGTATGCCTTGTTCTTGTTCATTTTCTTGAAATTTCTGTTAAAGTGTCCATTACAGCTTGTGTAGACAAAATGTTAATATATAAAGATTGGGATTCTTGATTAACTGTGTAAATCTCTCAGTACAAATGTATTTTCTATTAAACTTCATTTTGTCCTATCAGGTTACTGTTTACTATGCAGGAGGCGAGAGGTCATCATTTGTTTTAGAGGAACATCACAAACACATATGCCGTGCGGTGTTCAGAGGGCAAAATGTAGAAAAATGTATCTTAGATATAATAAGCAAATCGAATCCTGATGTTGTCACCACAGCAGCATGCAAACTGGTTTCTACAGAGTGCAAATCACTATGTAAACGTGGATCATATTCCATCTTACAACAAAAAACTTATGATGGAATTTTCAGCTTTACGTGGGATTCCTTTTACAAAGAAATTCAAGTAAGAGCACCGAACACACTCAGAGTTGTTTCGGCCATAGCAATTGATATCCCTATTCCACCAACAGAAAAAAAATTTCTACTACTGATGAGCTCTCTTGGTACTTGCTTCCATGGAAGAAATGGCCAGATATCCTCTCTGCAGTACCAAATTGGATTCATTTTAGCTCAAGGAGGATGCAAAGTAAGGGTAAGTCAGCATCTCAATTTATTGCTTATTGAATACTTTACACATGTACAGGATAATATATAATGACAACATAGCTTTGTCTTCTTTTTGGTGGTACACAATTATTTGCTTAAAATTAAAGATTCAAAAAAATTCTCAAAACATTTTAAAAAGTATGTTTTAGTGTAACTGAACCACCTTAATCGTTTCACCCCTATTGTACTATTATATATTTTATATATTATACAATGACCTTGTCAGCAAATACAATTTATCATTGAGTCAAATGCTGACTGACGTTTTTCATGCTAATTGTTAGGCCATTATTTACACACTAAATTGTCGACGGATTTTTCCGTTATTTCCCGATCATGAAAAGGAGCACACGGCGGGTGTGACCGGTCGGCAGGGGATGCTCACTCCTCCATGGCACCTGATCCCACCTCTGATTTTTAGAGGTCCGTGTTTGCTCTGCTCCTATTTGTATTGTTTAATGGACTTTTGAGCTTAAATACTGTTCGTTATCTCCATATATTTCATTACAATCTTAATGGTTCTGTTTTTAGGATATAGAAAGATTAGCAAAACTGGGACTTTGCATGTCACCCAAGTCTCTCTTCAATAAACTCTCATCACGGGAAAAGAACATTGATGTTGCAGTATTAAGAGCCAAACAACAATGGATTGAAAGTGGAGGAACTACTAGTACATATCAAATAATCGTGAGAACTGGGACAAGACCATAATACCTGTGTATCGAACTTCTTAACACTAAACAATATCCTTACATTTGTTTAATGTTTTAGTGGTAATTGACAGGATCCCTTTTGAAGAAAATATGCCTGAAACTGTTTATTTGGAAGACTTTCCACTGCACAGGTTAATACCATCCGTAAATGAACAAAAAATGCTGATTGAGGAACTAACATTTATCATAGCCACTTCTGTGATTCAGAACATTGATTAGATGCAGAATGTATTTGGAAAGATCTATCCAGTGCATTTAAACCATAAGTACAGTGAATATGCTGGATTAAAAACAACACAGGTAAATTTCGAGGTGTTCATTTACCCATGCTAAACATGCTAAAAGCTCTTGTACATCTGGAATCTGTCTATTAATTTTTCCCTATTTTTGATTTCTTCTCAAGAACCTCCAGCTTACCAGTATATCAAACAAATTTACTTGTTAACAATTTAACATCCATTGATTATGGACTTTCAAACAATGTTGGTTAAGGTTCAATCTCTATTTGCAAAGGGAGATAATTAGAAATTTATTAAAATAAGGGGGTTTTAGATTTGTATTTCTAATCACAGAGTTAAAAATCACAAAACCAATGTGAAAGCATCATTATAGTGTACATGGTGTAGAATCAAAATTGTCCTTGTCACTGGGGCCACAGAATGGGTCAAAATTTGAACATAGACCTACACGGAAAAATATCTCCAACTTCTACAGTACACAGTTATTGTGCAGTTTAAAATGAAAGTTCTTGGATATTTGATATCCACGACTTGTGAAAACTACTTGTGTTAAGTGTCCCCTCCTTCCTCCAAACCTGAGAGATAAGGCCATGGTTCTCTTGTTTAAACATCAACAAATCTGCTGATTCGTTTTTCTTGATTTTTCTGTTAGATAAGGTCATTGTTGTCAATAAAGACCAAATTTGCTTCCATGGAACATTGATATCAAAGAGGGACAACATCTTTATATTGAAATTAGGAACATTCAGTCAGACAGAGGAACATTAAACTGATATAATAAAGGGACATAATCTCTCATTTTGTCATTTAGTACTCCCTTGGTCTATTTGACTGTGATGAGAACAAGACACAGGGTGTCATTAGATTGCTGAAAGAGCTCACCCAATATGTCCCAGTTGACAAAAATGGAAACATTGAAGAGGTTTTCTTTGGTGGTAAGTAGATATATGTAATTTATGATGTATAACTTGTCAAATAAATAGATATGTGTGCGTTTGGTTTGTGAAACCCTGATAAACTCTCAAGTTGAATATAGCATAGAAACATTCTTGGTACAAATGCTATTCTCACAATATGTATTGTTAAAAAAAATAGAGATAGTCAAGGTGGATACTGATCCATTCTCCTTTTGAATGTTTTCAAAGAAATTTAAATATTTTTTTGATAAACATGTTTGGATTTCAGCCAACAGGCTAGCAGGAATCCACGAAGGGTCACAACCAACTGATTGGAGATACATTAACACAAAGTCGAATCCAGCTGATCACGCATCTAGAGGTATCTCAGCGGATGGCTTACTGAAACAGGAGAACTGGATTAAAGCCCCAAACTTCCTGTTTGAACCGGAAGATAATTGACCAATGTCACCTTCACAGCTTACTGACAGAGAACTGTTGGATAGCGACCCAGAGGTGAAAAAAGTTACTGTAAAAGCAGTTATCACAAAATCACAGGACTTTAAGGAAGATACTACAGACTGTTTTAACAAGCTGTTTCAGTATTATTCGTCATGGTATTCATTGAAACGCAGTGTGGCATGGATTTTGAAAGTACGAAAGAACTGTTATGACGTGCTAATGTGAAAAGACTCGATTCTCATGCAATAGTGCAGGACTATTCTTATGACAAGATTGTCATTTCATATCAGGATTTGAAAGAAGCAGAAAGAACTAGCTTTCATTCAACGACAGGAATTTCCTACAGAAATAAATACCCTTGAGTCAGGAAACTTTCGTGTTAGTCATGGTAGCAAAGTCAGGAGCCTGGATCCGTTCTTAGATGCTGGACTTTTGCGAGTTGATGGCCGCTTACATAAGTCAAGTTTTCCAGTTGAGATGAAACACCAAGTGATTTTACCAAAAGATCATCATGTTTCTACTTTAATTATCAGACAAATTCATCAAGACCTATTACACAGTGGCAGAAATCACATGTTATCTAAACTAAGAGAAAAATATTGGCTTATTCATGCTCCTTCTGCAATTCGAAAAGTCATATCAAAGTGTGTTACTTGTCGACGACAGAGGTCAAAGGTCGGAGAGCAGAAGATGGGAAGTCTACCCAAAGATCGCCTTACACCAGATGAACCACCATTTAGCCGTGTTGGAGTCGATTACTTTGGACCTTTTGAAGTAAAAGTGAAATGGAGCCGTGTGAAGCGCTATGGTGTCATTTTCACTTGCCTTGGTAGTCGGGCCGTGCATTTGGAAGTTGCGGCTTCATTAGATGCAGACTCTTACATAAATGCCCTGCGCCGTTTTATTGCAAGAAGAGGACAAGTTAAGAAAATACATTCTGACAATGGAACTAACTTTGTTGGTCTTAAAAGATCCATTCAAGAATGGAACCAAGCACAAATTCAATCTGCAATGTTACAGAAGAATGTAGACTGGCAGTTCAACCCACCAGCAGGATCACATCATGATGGTGTGTGGGAGAGGATAATCAGAACTAAGGAGCAGATACTTGATGATGAAGGACTTCATACCCTAATGTGTGAAATCGAATATACAGTCAACGACCGACCAATAACAAAGAACACCGATCAACACTGTGACTTGGAGCCTCTTACACCAAATCATTTGCTTTTGATGAAGAGGAAACCTAACCTTCCTCCAGGAGTCTTCGATAAGACAGATGTGTACCACAGACGACGTTGGAGACAGATACAATATATGGCTAACCTGTTCTGGCATCGTTGGGTATGCGAGTACCTACCACTTCTCCAGGAACGACGGAAATGGCATAATATCAAGAGGAACTTTCAAATCGGTGATGTTGTGTTAGTCGTAGATTCGAAGGCCGCAAGAAACTCTTGGCCGATGGGAGTAGTGCATGAGACAATTCCGGACAGAAAAGGACTTGTGCGTCAAGTGAAAGTGAAAACCGCGACAAACATTTTAACGCGCCCTGTGGACAAACTTTGCATAATCTTAGAGATGGACTAAGAGACTGAGTTGTGTTATTCCTAGAGACTCTTTGTATACATGGTTCATCTTAATTTATCATGTATTAAATTTTGCTAGGAACTACTGTTTATCATGTGTATGTATTATTTTTGACGAATATTCTGTACAGTTTAACCTGCTAAACTGGAAAACTTACCAACTATCATCACCCTCATCAATAAAAACTGTGACGCATTTACAATGAGTTTCTTTACTTTCCATAGCCTGTACAATCAGCTATCGCCTCACCACGCCTGAAACATTTTAGAACAACACAGTACGTCATGTTTTATAAATTAATATAAAAAAGATATAGTTTAATAATTCTGATTATTGTGTAAAGAAAACAACAAATCTTGCAAAAGATTTGGATCTGTGCACTGTTTACAAGAATGAAATTCACACTTTCCTATACAAGTGTGGTAGTACAGATTTAATATTTATCTCTTATGTATCTATTCGTTTTGGGATCATTCTATTTTTCGTTTCATCTAAAGTAATCTTAAATATTTTTGTAATATAATTCTTTTGCGCATCGGATTGAGTCGATTTCTATCTTCAATTTCATTGGTTCATTTGACATTATCCAATAGTTTTAATTTACCTTGAGTATAAGTAACCGTTCAAACTAAGCAAAATTGGGCAGTATTACATTTAATAAAGAAGATATCTATCCAGCGTATATCAGCTGCATCTTGTGGTATGAAACTATCATATTTATTTATTTGTTACTTTGCTATACAAGTTTTGAGTTTGACATTATATTTTAATTGCACAGTTTATACGTTATTGTATTTTTGCAGTTAAAGTTGTCAGAGTAATTTCTTATATTTGTCTGTAAGTTCAAAGTTCATTTTGTTACAGATCATTTTTTCTATCTTATATGTATGCTGCATTAAACGGTAAGTTATTATCAAAGTTTATGAAACTATAGTGTAAATTGTATTTTTCTTTAATTTATTCTTTATATTTGTTATAGGGCAATGTCTTTTTAAACTTCATTAAATAAAATGGCTACCAACGTCAGATTTCTTCATATCATCCATACTGCTCGGTTACAAGGGATTATCAAAAAGTTTATAGACTAATGCAAGAAAATTTATACTAACTAGGCAGCTTATGTTTACAAAATTTACAGGGAACATAAACCAACAAAAATTTAAGAATTTTGAAAATTTTAGCTTTCATACAATAAGTGGCTGAATTATCGTTCATTAAAAAAGGCATTATATGATCACCCAGCGCTGTCGTCATTGAATTTCATGATGCCCCACAACATTTTTCTTGATGTCTGCTCCCTCTGCCTCAATACACTTTTCTGGATGAGATTCCCTTTAGGTTAATAAAGACTGAAACCTGTCTTGTTTATATTACTATGCAATGTCATGAACAGCTTAAATCAACGCATAATATTGTAAATTGATTTATACAAAAGATAAAGATTCTCACTTGACTATGTCGGTTAATCTGATAGTCGGAGTTCAATTTGTACCGCACATTAGCAGTGTCACTTCAATGTGACTTTGGACACTCGGATTACAAATTGGCATTAAATGTGTGTCTCTACTCACTAAATCTTTTCTGGCATTTAAAAACAGGTAATCTGGATACATACATTATATTTCTCTGTAGGATGTTCAAATCTTTCCTATGTACATGTGCTATTTTTATCAGAGTGAAACTTTATAGATTGTGCAAAAAAGACCCCCACAATGGCGTTATTTTTAACTCCTTATAGATTAATTGGGCGTTCTATTTAAAATTTACAATTAGATTTCATAGAACTTGTAGAATGAGGTAAAAATAGCAAATTTTAGGGAACAATTATATCACACCACACAAGTGAATTAATGTGATTATTGGATAACAAAAGCTCATATCATCAAAGATTTTTCCTCCATAACAGTTAGGTTGTGTTTTGAGATTGCACCACATGGTCATATCATAATTTACAAAAACATTGACAAGTTATTAAAAAAATAAAGCTTATGATTTGTAGTTTATTGTATGGATAGAAAAGATTATGTTGACTAAATGTCAGGGACCTATATACTAGTATATATACAGCCCTGTAAATGTGTAAAAAAAAAAAATCATTCATGTACCTAAAGCAGTTACAATTTTAGAATGGGAGACCACAAACTCTTTGATAACCCTCGATTTTAAAAGAATAGGGGAATATGTGCTTTAAAAAAACAAAAATATATTTTTTACAGATATTTGTTAGAAATACTTGCCATTCGTAAATAGTATGGAATTCATCAACCACAATTACTCCGATGTTGTACTTCTGCAACTGCAGGCGAAAGTGCTGATATCCAATTAATGCTTCCGGTGATGCGAATAAAATATCAAAATCATCATCCAGAATTCTTTCATCTAATTCTTTGGTTCTTCCTGTAATAAAGTTATTTTTTTATATAAACAATACCGAGGAATCGTTAAAATTCGTGTGTGTGTGGGGGGGGGGGGGGGGGCGCTAATTTTTGTGGATTGCTTAAATTTTACATGTTCATGGGGATGTAACTTCCGTGTATTCACTCATAGGCCTACCTGTAAAAGGACATTAATACTCCAGATATTAATTAATCCAACCTCTACTTTTATGTTTTGACACTTCAAAACTTGTAGCCTAATAAAGCTATTTCAAGCTATATAGCTTAATCAAGAGATTGTGCTGGATCTGTTATTGCATAATGATAAATAACGTTACATGCACCTTTATATAGAGTCCGCAGGCATTCGATTTTTTCCAGTCGCTTTACTTGGTCCTGCATGAGCGCGACAAGCGGGCAACATACAATAATCTTAAAATCAGCATCAAAACCCAACCTCTGTGTCAATGGTAATAATAATTGGTATGGCAACGATTTGCTGTATCCAGTTGGTAGGACTGCAATACAATCCTTCTTCTCCAGTAAAGTTTTAATCATCTTCTCCTGCTCCGCTTTTAAGCTTTGTATGGAAAAAAGTCCGCATATTTCGTCCAGTGCCTCTTGAAACGTGGATGACGCCGTATTGTTAACTGGTTATCTGAAATTTCACGAAGCGCTTTAAGTACGCACAATGCGATTGGTTAAAAAAGGTCACGACCTATATTTCGCATATGCTAATCATTAGGTCATCCACATGTGACATAATATGGAGTTTCTTCAGACCTTCACGCGACAATCAAAATAAAATGAGATAGTGAAGGTTTGATTTTAATCAGACTGACAGCCTAGCTTTATGATAAAGATGATGATTTCAACTTTTCCATTACTAACTTCCTTTGCCTATGCTTTATCACCTGAAAATGGGATTTATAATTCTCAATTGATTCGATACTAGTACATGTAAGCAAGAGCATGCTCTACGTTTTAACAATTTTAAAACGAGGTAAGTTATTGTCAAACAAGTCGATAAACAAGAAGATAAACAGTCTCATTTTAAGTCATCATTTTATAGGTTCTATGATCGAGAAAAGCATACAGATCATTACTCGGAAAATTCAGACTTTTTAAAGAAAGTTTGATAATTTATCAAAGCCGCCGATAAAACGGAAACCATTATTAACTATTACATAAAGACAACATAGTGTCTGAAGCCAAGAAATGCACTACCACGACGTCATCATGTGACTACTATTAATAGCAAAATATTCCTTGATAAAATAGTTAATAGAACAACACTACCCCGGGGTTTAATAATTTATTTGAGTAAATAATATAATTAAAACCATCTCCTATCCCTTAAAAGTGCTGCTTGAATCCCACTGTCCGGTCGGGAAAAATAATTATTCCACACATTCCTACGAAACCTTATCCGATGATTGCATTAGATACATTTAACCAGAGACATTTTTTCAAACCATGTTTACCTCACGATTCTAGCAACACTTTCCAAGTATTATAGAACACAAGCTTTCGATCTGTACAAATTTTATGTTTTGAAGTATCCAGCTTAGTGATGTTCTTTTGCATTATTGTTGTAACGAATGACAGAGGAAAGGTCGATCGGGATGCCTAAATATCGGACTGTCTTCAACAGAAGATATAATCGATGAAAATGAATAATCGTATCTGTTTAACAAACTTTAACTCCATATGAATCACACACAATATTCACGGTGTTTACTTCTAAATCCCCTTTTACGCATCTTTTAACATGCCGTCTTAGCCATATTTTCGTTACTTAACATGATCAATTCTCAAGTTACTTGTTGAACAGTTATGACGTCATCGGTCAGAGATCTTAGCCCAAGTGACAGATACAGCATAACAAAATAAAATCATTTCATTTTTGTCAATATTTGCATGTTTCTATTCAATTTCAGGAGTTATTTTACATCGCTAAATACCAATATTAAGAAAATTTGTGTTCTAAATTAACGTGATCTCGACCACTATGACGTCATATTGTATCACTGATTTACTCAAGTCAGAATACCTGAGTGTTTCCTTAACTCACCTGCGTGACCTTGTCAACAAATACAATCTATCATTAAGTCAATTGTTGACCAACGTTTTTTTTTATACTAATCGTTAGACTATCATTTACACACTGAATTGTCTACGGACATGTTAGTGTACGTGTAAAAACTAAGTAACGGTCCATTAAGACTGAGCTGATTAATGTAGTACAAGCACCCATGAAATTTGTTTTTAACCGATTTTTTAAAATAAAATTTTATGGAAAAAAGTCGCTATGTCAATAATCTACCTGATCTATACATATGGCTCATGGCAGGTATGACGAGTTAACACGGGATGCTTATTCCTCCTAGGCATCTGATCCCATCTCCTGAATATCCAGTGGGCTGTACTTTAGGCCCTATTTAATATTTGTAATGTTTGTAGAAATTTTGAGATCAATTACTGTTATTTATCTTCGCATTTCATAATAAATGATGTATGTAAGAAAAATAATAAGCTATAGCATGTTTCCATCAATTGTAATAAAAAAAAAATAGGGACATCCTATAAATTGGTCAGATTGGTCAAATTGAGCAGACATTTTAGAATGTATATATGTCATCTACATGCGATTGACCACCTGTTATTAAATGCAAAGTAACTTTTGATCCATTCTTAGTAGAGACCTGATATTTGAACATATTTATAAGAAGTCTCCATAATTTGTAAACAGTAAAGGTCCAAGTTATATCAAGAGGTCAAAGGTCAAATATTGTGACGTCATCTACTGATTCTATTTATTCTTCTGCATCATTTTAACTTGGCAAAATATCTAAAACAATGGCTCATTTTTTCTCCTTTTTATACATTTTAATTTGAATTTAAGCTTAGTTATTCTATTGATTTTTGGTAAAAATTTAATTATATTTTCTTGAGAGATCATAAAGTGTTGCATATTTACATGAGAATTTGCAATATTAAGTTATCAAATTGGTGAGTTGTTGGACGTATTAAATACGATGTCATTATCTATGGTCTTTATAATGACCTCCATAGCAAATATAATCTATCATTGGGTCTTATTTTTTGCTGACTTGTTTCATTCCAATTATGACTTGCAGGTGTCATAACAGTATTTCAGTTGAGTCAAAAAATGGCTGACGCAAAATAATTCCTGATTTTTCCTCTTCAAATCGGGCATTTCTGAAAAAGAGGAGGCTGATATTTTCATGAGATGATAAAGTATGTGTAAACTTTCTTACTTTAGCAGAATCATGAACTCTTCCGGCCTGCTAAATCTTTTGGGTTTTAACGGAACTGTTGGAGCGGATTTCAAGGTTTTCAATGAATAAAAACGATGGAAATAAAATTGAAATAATTCTCTATATCATTGAATGATATTATTCATATGCAAGTAATACATTCACCAGAAAACGCAAAATGCTAATGAAAACAGCTGTATAGGTTTACACAAAAATGTTTATATAACGTTTTTAGGCCACACGTTTCAGGAAACTGAACATAAATTATTTTTTCCATTCTAATGACAACCCTGGAGAAAATTTTAAATAAGGTTTTGCAAAACTTTAAATAGTGATTATTATTTCTATGGAAGTTTCAATAATATTGTCAAAACCGTCTATGATAACATTCAAGGACAAAACCATGTGTGAAAATACCGCGAAATCGTTTACTCGACTGCATTTTTTTTTAATTATTCGTTCTTTTTGTTCATTCTGTTCCATTATTTTGCAGGAATCATTTTGATAGGATGCGATTAACAACTCAATGAAGTAACAAGACAGCTATTATGAAAAATTACAGAAAGAAACGGAATTTAAAAAAAAATATATGAATTTTGTCTGGCAACAGTGCCAAATCTGAATATTTTCAAGGGATTTAACACAACCACATATGGTGATTCACATTTCTATAAAGTTTCAGTTAGTTTGCCCAGGCCATTCTCAAAAAAAAACTTGCAAGACGGAATCACTGGCAATTTATCACAAATTGGTCACGTGACATAAAGTTTTCTTAATTAATCGTATTTTCCGTCCACCCTTCTCAAATTTTTTGCCTAAATTATTTTTGACAGGAGACAAAAAAAAAAAAATACTTCTTTAAAGTTTCAAAAAGATTTGATCAAAAGCAGTCGAGAAAGATGATTTTAAAAAATACCATTTTTTATCAGTTTGAATGGCAAGAGTGGCCATTTAAAAAAATTTGAAGAAAGATTACACATCCTTAGTTAATGATCATTATGACAGTGGAGTTTCAGCAAGATTGACAGAGCCATCTTCGAGAAATTGTGCGGACCGCTTTAGTGGTCGAACAATAACAATATGTCTTCCTGACTTCGTCTGGGGTGACATAATATCTATAGCATAACTCAATGCAAAGCTACGAATAGGTCTTCCGTCCAATTTTTGGTTCGGTTCATGAATGTAAATGTTCATTATGGAGAAATTAATTCGATTAAAAAATAATAATGTTGCTCAGTTTTTTAATAAATTTTATCATCGTAGTCTATCCTGATTTCCTTGAAGTTGAGCAATTTATTACTTCCGGTGTAAAAAAAAAAAATTGATGCCACTCGATTAAAGATTAGATTGGGAGTCTTAAGTAATTAGCTGTTTGTCAATATCTGCAAAAAATAAGTCATTGCGGGCTACTTCCTGTTTAACATGAAGTGGTTGAAAGTGACGATACTCGATGGACAAAAAGGCCTGGCCTCGTCTGTGACATTCATAATCCCATTCCTTGCCAATATCTGTGAAAAATGCAATTTTGTCTATTTCCGGTTTCGGCGGAAGTAATGTCATTCGATTAATTTTGAATTTCTCACTAGGGGCTTCTTGTTATTTAAAGAAATGCTATAATTATGTTCCCCAAACGAAGTTTGGGAACATATTGTTTTTACTCTGTTTCTTCTTCTTCTTATTATTATTATTATTCTTTTTTTCTACTTTCTTCTCCGGTACTTTTTTGTCCGGGAGTGTTCTCATAGAACCACTCATCCGATTGACATGAAACCTTTTTAGGGTTAATCGGCATATTGTGTAGGTGTTCGGAACGAAGGTCATTTTGCGCGCACATGCATGCACGTGCGCGCGCGTGCAATGAGTGAAATGACTGATATACTTGATGAAGCCGTAACTTTTGTATTTCTTGATGAATTGCTTTGAAACTCAAAATATAAAGATATATTAGTAGTCTAGATAAGATAACGTGGTCAAATTAGCGTGAACTCACGCGCATGCACGTGCGCTCTTCTCTGATTGGCTGATACAAAAATCTCAATAATTTCCTTGTTTTTTCACAAAATACTTTGAAATTTAGAATATAAGTATATATCAGAAGGTGCTACAACATGTTATATAGGAAATTTCTTGAAAACACGCGCATGCAGGTGTGCTGCAATCTGATTGGTTGAAACTTTAAATGTCTATAACTCCCTTGGTTTTCAACAAAACAGGATGAAATTTACGACATGGATAGGCACATAGAGCTCCTACAATATGATACTATCAAAATTGAATGCAAGGCCATGCATGCGCGTACGCTGATTTCTGATTGGCTCATACTTAAAGGGTAACATTTCTCTTATTTTTCAATGAAATTCTTTAATATTTAACACAAATGTATGTATTGTGAGACACTATAAGAAAATTAATGTGAAAAATGTAGAAAACATGTGCAAGCACATGCGCTGAAATTTGATTGGCTAATACCTATATGGCTATATCGGAGTAGTTTTCCAATGAAATACCCTTAAAAATAAAGTATCCATTTATATTACAAAAGTATTGTCTAATTCATTGAAGCTTGTAGGGAATGGGGCATCATAAGGGATTGGGGAGCCGTTTGGGGAACATCTGTAACGGTTCCCGTTACAATTAGCACTAGTTATTATTACAATGGAGGGGTTCTAAAGTTCCGGTGGATATCTTGTTTGTTTTTAAGTGATTAAACTTTGCACAGTGATTGATGTCTTTTTTTTTTAAAATCCTGTTATTTTGTAATAGTCTTAATATTTCATCAATTAAAATGTGTTTGAAATGTGGTGACCAGAAAAATTGAAATAATATTTTAATAAAGACATACTTAATCTAATGGATATCAGTTTTATACATGCTATACTTTTTTGCCTTTTTTATTTAACAGTCCTAATCAATAGCTTGAAGTTGCTGCATACATTAGAACTTTCTTAAGAGAAAACAAGAATGAAAGGACTTTCAAAAGAGAGTTTCACTGTTGCTGACTGGGCTGTATTCTCGGGAATCCTATTCATTTCGGCATGCATCGGAGTTTATTATGCTATGGCAGGAGGAAAACAGAAAACTACTAATGAGTTCCTAATGGGAAACCACACTCTGCAAATGGTTCCTGTAGCCATTTCTATCCTTGTTTCTTTTCTATCAGCCATTTTGATTCTGGGAGCGCCTGCAGAGATGTATACTAAGGGGACACAGTATTACTTGTATGTGTTTGGACAAATGGCGGCGGCAGCACTGGCTGCTTTCTTGTTTGTTCCACTTTTCTACCCACTGAAATTAACAAGCATGTACCAGGTTAGTATAAACCCCCTTTGGGCATTGCCATTATGGGAAATAAAAAGTTCCAATGCATATAATTATATTTAAAATAGAGGGACCCTCACAATAGCTCAGTCGGTCGAACAATCGCTCCGTGATCGGAAGGTCGTGTGTTCGAATCACGGCGGCGACTGACCTAAGTCAATAAAAAAAAATATGTAGCAACCGTTCCTTCATCAAGTGCTCATCACTTTGAAGTGAAAGCTGCATGTCTTCGGATGAGGCTTTAAAAACTTAAACACCCTGTCATGGTAGGCATCCGTCATTGTACAATGGCCGTGAGTGCTGATTAAAATCTAAATTTGAAGCCCTTCACCGGTATATGGTGACGTCTTTATTTGAGTGAAAATTTCTCAAACGGAACGTAAAACAACATTCATTCAATCAATCAATTTACGACGGGTGAACAATTGAAATACTTTCATAAAAGAAATAAAATTAGGTTTCAGTGTTCATTATTTTTTAAAGTAGTCCTCTCCGATTTCAATACACATCTGCCATTGTTCTGCCCATGCGAGATTCACGTGATCCAGGCGGTCACGAGACATGCTCCATAGCGTTCTGTTCACAGAAGCTAAAAGATTTATTATATATCTTATATATCTTACCATGCAAGCTATTTAAAAAAAAAAAAAAAGAACAGTCCATTTATCAGAAATGACCAAATCTCTGCAATAGGATGAGTGGATAGGGGTATCCTTTCCAAGAAAGAGCATTGTGACCATCACAACCCGACTCCTCTATCTTAGGAGCGTTGTTTATCCAATAAAGTGTGAGCGTCTTCTTTTTATCATATCTGATATGTTTTAAGTCTAAAGTAAACGATTTTTAGGGACTTAATAATTATATTATTGTTAAGATATTCACCTATTTTTCTAATTACTTTAACTTGGCGATCTTTCATAACAAATCACTCAACTAAGTGCACATCTATTCCCCAGCTTGCTTTTACTGGGCAACAGAACAAACATCATATTTAACCATTTCCCTTCCTATACTAAAACATTCCATCCAATTAATGATTGTACTCCTTGCAAGTCTTTCGTCTTTTTAAACCTTGTACAACTTATTACATACTATTGCAAAGGAATTTCAAAGATATACGTTCAACTTTACAGCCGTTCGAGTATGACAGAGTCAACCATTTTTTGTAACACGTCACCTACATATTGGCGTCATTTTCACATTGTGACGTCACAAACATGGAACAAAAGATTATATAACATCTGCTTATTATAAAACATGTGTATGGCTCTATATTTCCCCAATTTCATTCGATTTGAATTGTGATTTTGTAAATATAGAGATAGTTTGCGAACTTTTTGATCACCCCTCGTAAAAAGGAGGCTTCCAAACAATCTAGTAAAACTTTTATTTTTTCCTTTGCAGTATATTGAACTGAGATTCAAGTCCAGAGCTGCAAGACTGACGGCCACAGTCATAAATATACTGTCCTCGGTAGGTAGGAAATATTTATTTTCCATATAAAAAAGAACTCATACAGTTTTTGTATAAAGCGTCTATTCATAAACAACTAAAACTGTTTCTTCTGTTTAATTAAACAATTTCAAATGCATTATTATTATCCTTTGCTTTTGGTAGGGGTTTTTAAATTCCTTGCGTTTTTACTTTGGTTTTACAGAAACTATTAAAGATATATTTTTAACTCCATGCACTGATACAAATTGGTCACAGCAAGAGAATAATCTACATCTCTCTTGATTGTCATTTACATATAGTACAATTTCTAACATTCGTCTTGGCAATTTGTTAAATATAGAAGATTGTTTTTACATAGTATTTGGATTGCCCAGGTTTTGTCTACAGATTCATAGAAAGAAAAATATTTGAAAGACAATGAATTTGGCACAAACAAATATTTGGTAACATATAGAAGAGAAATTCATTATTCCATCTTTGACGTCGTTTTCTACAAGTGAATAATGTAATTTACTTTTCTTATTTTGAATTAATCTGTGTCATAATATTTGGCCTTAACCTTCCTATGAACGTGATTCACCCACCCTTCATCTTGAATTTAGTTTTTTTTTTTTTTTTTTTTTTTTTTTTTTTTTTTTTTTTACCTAGAATTGACTTAACATATATTTATTTTCTGTGAGAACAACTCAACCATCTCTATTCAGACGCAATTTACAGCTTTGCTACATACCTTTGAAGATAATGTAAACTATAACATTCCGTTTGAAGCTGCTTAATATTGATATCATTATATGCAAAATCATTTGATGTGCTCAGCAGTTCAATTATTGATAGCATTAATTGAATTACATTCGATACGAATCACGGACAACAATTGAATTACATATTAAATTTAAAATTTTCAAATAACAAATACATATATTAATTATTAAAGTTTATACATGTATTAATAATTAAAGTGAGTTTAAATTAATTTTGGAACAACTTAGAAATCAATATCCTTTGATTCAATGTTTCTTTATTCTTATGTTCTAAAATGACTGTAATTTTAACTGTTAAAATTTACATCATGATTATAGACCAATAAACTTGACCTGACCTTCAAATGAAAAGACAAAAATATTTGAGATATACTTTTATTTTACTGTTCGTTGCTCTTCACTATAGTATTCAAGAAATAAACTGGATTACAATCAGATTCCCGATATGTTGCTGGGGAAAATTACGAGGCCGGCCCATAAGAAAATCGCCCCACCTTACTTTTCATATGCACATGTATAAACTTTTAAGCAAACACTTGTGAACATCTCAGTTTTATACTATTTTCAAATATCATGTATAACGCCAAGAAACGACCGTTCGATTATTACAGATTACAGTTCATTTTTTTTTTCAGATTAAAGTATATATTTACAGATTAATGTGTAAAATTTACAGATTATAGTGTAAATTTTACACATTAAATTGTAAATTTAAAATATTAGAGTGTAGAAATAAAAAAAAATAACTGCCAAACTGGCAGCTAATATTCTTCCGTAATTCAATTAGAACGACAAATCAACTCCATAAACGATAACACAATGCAACAACTGCAGTAAACGATTTAGTTTGTAAATAAAAAAAATATAGACATTATCCCCTCTATTGTGTGGTATGCTCAGGTCAGATAAAAAAAAAAATGAAGTACATTTCTATTCATGCTTAAGTGGAAAAATTTTATGAGCAGAACATTCATGACAATATAAAGGCCTTGTGCATTTCCCATGTTTTCAAAAAAAAATTCTTGTGTTTCAGTTAATATACACCGGGATTGCATCATTTGCTCCTGCAACAGCCTTAGAAGCAGGTCAGTCTCAGAAAAAAAAATCTGTTTAAAGAGTTATTATGTTTAGATGATCATTGACTGGAGGAACCTGCAAAATTGTGAATTACTGTAAATGTATGTCGTTGAAAAATCATTAATATTTAGTGTACCAAAAGAACTTAATGATTACAGTCCCTCTTAAACAGGAAAATAGAGTGAATCCATTATACATGTATTTACTGTGAATACTTTGGCAGTTTATCATGAGAATCAAACATCGCACTGAGTTATCATCATTGCGTACTGTACTTTTTTACTGTTTGTTTTTGTTTTATGATGTGTGCATCTTTTATATCTTATACAGTACCTCTTTCATTGTTAGCTCTATTACATGTATTAGTATGTAGTTATATAATGACGTTTTGCATGTTATGAGGTAATTAGTTTTTTAATCATTAAGTATAGGGATAACAAACAGTAATCAACCTCAAAATCCATTGACACAATACAAATTCAGAGCTGAGCAAACAACCCTAACAAAAAATACTATAGTTAACTATAGTTTACTGTAGTTAACTATAGTAAATTAAAGTGACAAAGTTGTCACTACAGCAAATCAAAATTTTCAAAGTGATCACTATACTGTCATAGTGATCACTATGGTATATCAAAGTTTTCAAAGTGATCACTATAGTGTGATAGTTATCACTTTTTCAAGGTTATCACTATTATAAATCAAAGTTTTCACCATAGTAAATCCAAGTTTTCATAGTGAACACTATATTGTCATAGTGATCACTATAGTAAATCAAAGTGTCAAAGTTATCACTATAGTTAACTATAGTAAACTATGTTTAACTATAGTATTTTTTGTATAGGACGGACCTTTTAAAAAATCCACACAGGTGAGATCTGGTGCCATGGACCATGGTACCCTGGTCACGCCCGCCGTGTGCATTCTGACATAACGTGTTTTAAACATGCAAATATTGTTTCATTTTAATCAGCTGAGGAGAAACCATATTCATGGGGCACGAAGGACGTGGTGAATATTGTACTTCTCAGTCATTGTATTGACTAAAAACATCATCAATTTTTATTTAAAAAAAAACAGCAATCACATGCCATAAAATTGTTTAGAAAACCATGCAACTTTAAGTGGTTGATCGTACATGTACTCGTATATTTTCTTTCGTTATTTTGACCAATTCTAGAAATTATTAAATTTTTGTTGCTTTTTTTTTTTTTACATTTACGGATGATTTCGTGCAATTGAACATAAGTTACGAGTATGATTCCTAGATTTTCTAAATAATGGATATCAGCCAATCCCAAAGCTATGAGTAATTAAAGGAAAGAATTAAAAAATACATACTATACTTCCCCTATTACTTACGGTAAATTCGGTTTTATGCAGCATTTCTATTATGATGACGACGATAAAATATTTACTTGGTTCTTTCAGCACCCGTCCGTCTTAATTATAATGTATTCCTTTTTTGATATGTGATATTGTACATGTACATACAGTATTTTATTAATGAAAACATGTAACCCACTAATTAAATAATTATACTACTAATCTGAGATAAATAAATTAACTAAAACAGATATTTTCTTACCCCTCTTTCTTTCCTAAATTTTAAGGGAATATCTTCTCCCTGTGTTCTTTGTACATGTTTATTTCAATGTGTCTTGATTTTGGTGAATAGACCATAAAGTGATACATGATGGAACAAAAAAAAAAATCAAGAAAAACAACAGCAACAACAACAACAACAACAACAAAAACATTATTTAACGAAGAGAAACAATTTACATGTACTAGTTCCTAATTTTTTTTCTTTTTTAAACTCATAAATGTTCTAAGATCAAAAGATTTTTTTAAAAAATCAAGATTGTACTTTGCATGGAAAAATTTATGTATGTGATATATTAAATTTTAATCCCTTATTATTAAGGTAGTACCAAACACACGTAAATCTGTTTTACCTCATTTCTTTTAAACACATTAGAAAAATATCCGAATTAATCTGAAGAGAAGAAAGGGAGATGTTTTCATTCTCCTCCCATGTTAGATCTTGAATAGAATATATCATTTCTAGTTAGAGTTAAACAGTTATAAGGAGAAAACAAATATACTTGAAAAAATTCATTTAGTCAGAAGCCAGAGAAGGATTCTTCCTTAGTGTTTAAGGATATATAACATCTTTGTTACTCTGTCTGTTTTGATTGATATTTAGACGGTTGTTTCGTTAACATATGACTTTTTGTAAAGAAATAATTGCTTAAATCTATTTAATTAAGTAATTTGCAAAAATGTCAGCATCTTCATTTTATCTTTTATGTTTTAAATTCCGAATATATATATTTCATATTACAGTAACTGGTTTTCCTGAGTGGGGCTCCTTTCTTCTGATCGGTTTAGTTTGTACATTTTACACTTTCATGGTAAGTTTTGTACATGTACAACACTGTACCAGTAACAATTTTAATCTTTTTTTTTTGCCCTTTTTTCTACATTAAATCTTTATAAATAACCACAAAGATTGCAAATAGTGGTAATTAATAGCTATTCTCTGTAACCATTTAAACTTCTTTGCCATGCATAGTCACCGATTTTGATGAAACTTTGCCAATTATTACTGCTTGACACCAGAAACGTATATCAAATAACATTTGGTTGCTATGTGTCTTGGTTGCCATGGCAACAGCCGGAAAGATTGAAAAATTGACATTTTTAGCTATTTTAAATCTTTATTGAATCTTTATAAAGACGCGGAAAAACAAACAAACTATTCTCTCAAAAACATGACACCTTGCTGCCACTTATGCTATAAAGAAACTGTTTAGAATATATCTCTAAGTAAGTGGTAACCATGGGGACATTTGGAATACATTTTAAATGCTGAAAAATGCTAAAAATCAATAATGATAGGTGTTACATGATCAAATTCAATAAATACTTAAAAAAACAATAAAAATATTTGACCTTAAGTAATTAGGTATTAGCAATATTATCCTGAAAATAACGTTCATGGTTGCTATGGTAACACAGTGTAACCAAGCAAAATATTTTACTAAGATTGGGATAATGCTACTATCTTGAGGAAAAACATGAAAATCCAAGACTGGCAAATATACATCCTTAGGACCTTGCAACACCAACAACATAAGAAAAATTGGGATTAATTGCTACTTTGCAGTGTAACCATGGAAACAACATACCAGTGGTTTAAAGTGACATTTCTTTTGCTGGTTTAGGATTCTACTTACCATTTAATCAAGAAACATAATATTTGACTCACCTTAAATAGTACTTATCTGGTAGAACTAAAGTTGAATATCATATATTGTTAACGTTTGATGAAGAAAACAACACCGTTGCTATGGTTACCAAGAAGGGAAAAAGTTTGATTTTGTTAACTTTATATCAATATTAAACCCTATGTGTCTGCTTCTTGCATCCAGTTAGAGATCGGGTGGTAGTCAAAATTGAAAGTCAGGTTAGTTGTTCATAAACCTCAATCATAAAAGTTTTGGGAATCTGCATACAAGGGTACGTATCCAAGGAAACAAAATATTTTTCAGATTTTTATGCACATTTTTTCTGCTTATTTCCATAGCAACGCTTTATTTAAAGAATATTATTTGAATTTTTTGACATGTGAAAATTCGTATCACACCAAAGCCTTTAAAAATATATCACCAGCTATATAGAAATGTGCTTTTTTAAAAGATAGGATCAGATTTAAACATACAGAGTGTAAATTTGAAGCTCTCTATGGTGTAGGAACCATGACAACCATTGCCAACCAATAAGAAATATCATATTTCGTCCTTGGTATATGTTACAAGACTCTTTTCTCTATTATTTGGTTACATTTCAATCTATAATTTTTTTTTTATTTTTAAGTGTATGACCATATAAAATTCAATAAATAAAATTATTACTTTTGAATACTTTGTTTCCATAGTAATGTATGTAATAGTTGATTTACAAAACATGTTTATCATGCATTTATGACATCTGGCATTCAACTTTTGGAAACAGTCATTGACACTTGCTTGCATTGCTGCAAATGTTAACTATGGGGCTCTGAACATATTAAAAATGCAATTTTTCAAACTTTAGGACATGTTGCCATGGTAACCATGACACATAGCAACCAATTTTTGCCTGATTTAAGTTTACTGTATAAAAGACTTTCATCATAGAGAGTTTAAAGACATTTTGAGACTATGCTTGCCACAGCTCCTATATAAAAATTCAAGTCATTATAGAGAATGACTCTTTAAAATTAACATAATCAATTGGGATATAACTGCTTTTCTGGTCATTGGATAAGCGATAGACACTGCTGTCCTATGCATATTTTCATCAACGAAAATATGCACCTACCCTCCTTGCACATAAAATCTTTATTTGACAGTTATTGCCATTGATTACAAGATTATTAATGTACAGGTAAAATTTGTTCCCGGCAACAGTGTTCCTTTTTTCTTCGCTCTACGTTGTTGCTTGTCCGTTAGGATTGAAGCATTATAAAAATTATGATAATAATGATACAGAAGATAACAACTCTTCATTCTTAAATCTCTTGGCTACTTTAAGGTTCCTAACAAATGATCAAAAGGTGTTTTGCTTTTGGAACATTTTTCAGAATCAAGACAATACGTTATGATGAAACAGTTCAAACATTTATTGTTTACATTTAAATTTCCATTCAAAACACCAAAGATGACATGAACCCCGTAGTTATGTTTAAGCGTTTCGACAAGTTAATAATTTTTCATACAAATTAAGCAAACTATCCTTTAAAGCACACTGTGTTACAAATGATAATAATAAATAACCATTTCTTTTCTTTGTTTTTGTATATTCATGCATGAAAAAAAAAAAAAATACCGGACAGAGAAGTAATTAAATGATACGAATTTTTTTTCCAGAAATTAATCTTCCAATGATTTTTAACGCAGATTATTTAGAACTAATACTTATACATGACAGTTGTGATTTTTCCTGTAGACATTTGACTACCTTAAATCGCAAAACATTTGGGAATACAAAATTCATACGTAGATTATTTGAAAATGTTATTAGCAGATGGATTTTTCAACTAAGAATATTTTAAATTCTCCAATTTCTATGTACAGTGTATGGGTGTTTTATACAGTTATTTTCGGTGTAATATTTCCCAATCGATCCGGTACTCAAGAACATGTTCTGATTACTCACACTTTCGCCAATTTTTTCTTCAATATAATTACCTTGTTTGTAAATACAGCCTATTGTTGGATTTTATTTCAACGGACGTGTTTCACAGTAATTGTTATGCTACCGATTTAATATAAATTTTGACTACTGGTTTCTAAATTTAAAATACTGTCTAACAGCTGATATGACCGAATGACAGAAGATGATTATTCCTTCTCTTTATGATGTGCATGTTCTCGCCTTGTTTACGATTCTGGATGGTTTTTTTTTTAATTTATTAGTCACTGTTTATTATCTCATTATCTTTTATGGATATTTATATACCACAATATCAGGTTATGCCTCTTTGAACATTATGCACATTTCCAAATGTTTTACAGTGTTTCAACATTAAAACTAGATAATCGTTTCATTGCAGTGTTCAGGATAGACTTAAAACTATACTAAAATGCTTGCAAATTTTCTTGACCATTACAGGGTGGGTTGAAAGCTGTTGTGTGGGTTGATGCATTTCAGGCCATCATCATGTTTGGTTGTCTATTTACTATTGTGATTAAGGTACGATGTTGATATGCAATAAATGTCTTTTCTTTATTAAAGCAATATTGAGAACATAGAAGACCTTTCAGAATGTCAACAATGGACACTAGCCGTTTTTATTTGTCCAGTTTAAGTACCCCAAAAATATTTTAGCAAATAATATTCAGGTAAAACCATCATGGCATATTGAGATTTAAAAACAATTCTAATTAAGTTGTGTACTATAATGATTTAAAGTAATGACTTTTTAAGGCCACTGTAGAAGTAGGAGGATTTTCTAAAGTGTGGGAACTGAATGACCAGTGGGGTCGAATAGACTTTTGGAAGTAAGTTGACATAGAATTCCAGAGTTATCATTGATGAAAATCGCTTTTATACGGTACATGCAGGATGGATGCAAAAAATGAAATTTTACGACATCTAATTTAGAATCTTTTATGTGTTTAGACCAACAGATCTTGTGCATAAATATGAAGTCTGTATCTTCCTGCAAGCCTTATCTTTTATCATACAATTGATGAAGGCATTTAAGAGTGACTTTATGTGAACATAACCAAGCAGTTATTTCAGATTTTGCAAGCTGCATTGCCTTACATTAACTTTATATACACTGAGAATAATAATGAGAGTAATAAAAGAATCTTTGACATTTTGCATCACAGGATGAAACTCTGCGATTCAGTCTACTGAATTGTTAGTAAAAGAAATGGAATGGTGATTGGATGACAGAAATATGCCATTCAGTTTCTTTTTTCAGGAAACATTTCAATCAAACTTCATTTAACCATTTAATTGATCGAAAGGCAGAATTTCATCCTTTGTTTCTCAAACGCAAGGGTAAAACTTCAGTCTCAGCCAAGCTTTCTTGGTGATACTGATATTGTTTTATCTCTATCTTGCAGCTTTGATTTCGATCCAACAGTTCGACACACCTTTTGGGCATTAACAATTGGAGGCATGATCAACTGGGTGGGGACATTTGGAGCAAGTCAACAGAGCATACAGAGGTTTAGTGCCTTGCCCTCACTCAGGGAAGCGAAAATGTAAGCAGGGTCCAGACAGTATCTAGAATGCACAGTTGAATTTCGGTATCTACATCATCGATATTTCGAAACAATGGATATGGAGAAAAGGCCTGGCCACTTCTGCCTTTTATAATATAACATTTAATTTATCGAATCTTCGGTTAACAAAAGCTTTTATGTTTGCCACAATTCTATCTGAGATTTGAAGGTTTTACAAAAATTATATTCAATTAAAATTAACAAGGGTCTGCCAGGCTTGAAAATTAAATGAGAAAATTTATTTTAGCGCTGTATTGCTGAACTGTTTTGGACTCTTTCTGATGGTAACAACAGCGTGTTTGGCGGGAATTTCTGTGTTTGCTTTCTACGCAATGAAAGGGTGTGATCCATATACAGATAAAGAAATCAAAAGTTCCAACCAGGTGAACTTCAGTATTATTATCACACAGCGCTGTAAAGGCTACAAAAATTGTGCTGAGGTCAAAAAATATAGGTCTGCTAATAACGGGGCGCAGTTGGTACCTATAAAGAATATTTTAAACTTACCATTGTAATTATTGTAATTCTTTTTGTCGCTAGTTAATCCCACACAGCAATGGATAATCAAGTCTTTCATAGAAATTTAAACTAATACAGTACAATTCGAAGTCTGCTGGGGAATCAATGAAGTTCCTGGGGTCAATGTTCGTGGAACAACATAGTTTTCCTTGTTCCTGGGAAGGTAATTTCGTAGGTTACTCCTTTACACGGTAGATTCAACAAAACAATTTATTAACGAAGTCTAACGTTCCTGGGGATGTGAATTCGTGGGTAACGTTGACCCACGAGATCCACGAGTTTTGATCATCCTCAAACGATGATGATTCCACCGTTTTAAAAACGCTCTTCAGAAACAATTAATCTTTTATTTGAATGGGAAATACCTTTGAGATATTAAAAATAGCTGTAGGCCTCCATGCAGTACACATTATATGCTTTTATAAAGTGACTGTCAAATAAGGTGACTAAACTAAATTCAGCGTAGAGTTTGGTTTATTATATTATTTTAATTAATATGTAAGTCATTTCTATAGTGAGTGTTATTTAATAGTATAGGTAAAAACATCAACATTTATTTTTGAATTTTGCAATGTTTTAAAAATAAGTATTTGTTATAGATAAATGAAGAACTAGATATATTCAAATTATAATTTAAATACTTAATGAATAAACAGGAAGTCTTATTTTTATACGAACTTATTATTTCAACAACATTGATCGAAGGTAAAAGGTCCAGTGAATTGAACCCTGTTTTAACTATTCTTCCTAACATCAATATGACCAATTATCAGAACCTATTGAATATTCGTTTGATTTTGTGAGCTATACGTTCTTCATGAAAAGGATGAAGATAACAAACAGCGATCGATCTCGAAAAAAAATATTTAAACTAATCTGTTAAGAGAGATTTAATTCCAGAGGTAGGACCAGGTGCCTGGGATGAGTAAGCATCCCCTGTCGAGCGGTCATTCCCGCCTTGAGCCATATGTATTGGTCAGGTAGAAGGAACACTCCGTAGTCAAATTCAAAAATAAAAACAAAGATTTACCAATTTGTAGGAAACAAGTCAGCCAAAATAAACCTAAAAAGGTTATACATGTATTTGCTATCAAGGTCATTAAAATCACCACGAAATCCTGACTTTAACCAAGACTCTAACAAATCCCTGTTACATCAACTTATCTGTTGGTAGCCTGTCTTGGTCTAAAGACTGATCGCACTCGTAGCATACTCTTGAGTATCATATAAATTAAGAGATATATTTTTTTTATATGAAAGGATTTGAGATTGACTTACTTGTAAAGTCTATTTTTTTGCAAGGTTCAACTGAAAAATTCAGATCTCTATTCTCTTTTATTAATCTAAGTCTATTCTTAAATAATTTTTGGAATATGACATTTATATGTGGTGTTTTTCCCGCATGATTTTTTTAATAAGAATTTTTATGAACTGATAATTTTAATTATTATTTTAGATCATTCCACTCTTCGTGATTCAGATGTTGCATGTTCCAGGAGTACCTGGATTGTTTATAGCTGGTCTCTTTAGTGGTGCTTTAAGGTTAGACATAATCTTAACATCCACAAACTTACACAAAAAGACATTTCTATCTTGAAAGGGAATTTAAATTTTTCGCTGTTACTATCTTTTTTTTTAACTTACGGGTTATACATTACATCATATGTAGTAATTTCTTCCTCGGTTGGAAGTAAGTATATACATAAAAGAGGAAATAACAAAAAACCCGGAGGTATCATTCAAAGCCTCTTTTTCATTTTTAACATATTTTCTCTAAATGGGGGTATGATATGGGAGGGGGTGCAATTAGTTTATTAAACGCCCAGTTTAATATGAATGTCCTAAAGCTAACAATATCATTATTTCTAACCAAGAAGTTAAAGCTGTTTTTTCTTATTAATTTAAAAGATTTTTTTCCATATTTCAGTTCTGTATCGTCCAATCTCAGCTCACAAGTAGCCACATCATGGGAAGACATAATAAAACCTCATGTCAAAAATAAATCTGATAGAGTCCATACATGGATAACCCGGATGTTAGGTAATTCGTTTCTCGGTATTAAGTTGAACTCTACTAGAATCTGGTCTGATTTATTAGTTTATGTAAAAGGACTTTTATTTTTCAGTGATTTTATTTGGAATTCTGGGCTTGGGAGTTTCTTTTGTCGTAAAGAATTTTGGAGGAAGTGTGTTACAGGTAAACAGAATATTAAATCATGAATCTCTGATATTATATGTTGTGGACATTTCTTTTCTTCAGTGCTCTGAAATAAAGATTCTTTTCTAATAAGATGTCTTTATTGTAATATTCCCCATGCAGGATCAGTGTGAGATATCAGATTTTGAGTCTCAGGAATTGGATATTCTTTAAATGTAGACAAGAAATGCGATTTATCAATTTATTTGAAAAACAAGTTTACGTTTCTGTCAATTATTGTATAAATACCCTATAGAAGAGATACTGGAAAAATGATTTGACAATTACGTATATAAAGGACTAGATCATTTAGAGCTTTGTATGAAGACACCAATGTATTAAAATTTAAATAGTTATCTGACAATATTCTACTAGATGTAATATAATGGCTCAATGGCTTATTGTTATCAGCGTATCAATCACGATCAATTATCCATAGCATTATTTTGCACACTTATGTAACATAAACTTTAACATTTTCAGGTCAAGTAACAGGATTATAAATAAGCAATGTAAGTGGAGTCTTAAATCATTTTTTTTTCTCTTTGTTTTAGGTCGCTTTAAGCTTTATGGGGGCTGCTAGCGGAGCACTAAATGGCTTCGTGGTTCTAGGAGCGTTTTTCAGGTCATGTAACTTTATTGTAAGTTAATTTAAAAATAATTCAACAATATTTTGCAGATATATAAGACAGGCTATAAGAACATAAGAAGCCAATTTTAGGTGGCAATACGTTTAAATTTTAACGATTGTCATATACAATCGATATGTGCATCACTAGCTAACAAACACATATTATGTAGACGTAAGAAATTATTGATGTTGGCATGTTTTACCAAAAATTAATTAGTAATTCTTTCCTTGTTAAAAAGGGGCAAATATACAAAGTGTGACAATTTTTTTTTTCAATAATTTAGTATTTTCATTAAAAATAATTAATTAAATCAACAGTGCTCCCAGGAAATGCATATTTACTCTAAGTCTATTCAGTGTAAGCTGTGTTTTACAAAGTCACAATCTTAAGCTTACATGATATCTTCGTCAGCAACACATAATTGTCTGTACAAAAGATGAGATTTGTTCTATAATGTCATTGTATTAATATAAATAATAATTTTTGAGGACAACTGATCAAACTATTGAAATTAAGCACTTGAAATGAGCAGAGGAACGTGGGAACGTTTCTCGGATTTTAGTTGTAAATCTGTAGCTATTGTAAAGAAGTCCTTTATTTTAGCATTTATGTTTCATTTACAGAAAACTCAAAGGCAAATGTATTTTTCAAAGGCAAATATATTTTTCACTTAATTCTTTTAATTTATCCTTTCAGGAATATCAAATTTTAATTTATTTTTATTATTGGAGATAAACAAAAATACTTTACGTGTACATAAATTGGCGTATTCAAAATTTAGCGCAATCAAGAGGTATGGAGTTGTTGGCATAATCATAAATTAGCGCTACACATATCAGTGCCATGTATTGTATTAATAAATGATTTATTAGCGGTCTTCATGAATTAGCGCATCGTTGTCCGCGCCAAAGCCGCTAAAATATGAAGCCCGCTTTTTTAAGTACACAGTAATTCAATGAACTATGGAAAACTTGGAAGGTGTTAACTTATTATAAAAAATCTTACTGATGCTACGCTTTTTTGATGCAAAATGAAGAGATATTTGGGCGTTATCCATTCACATTCCCAAGTCTCCTATTTATTTTCAACGCCTTACTGAAGTCTACATTATCAACGAAATTGGAATACTTTTAAAGATTCTACCCCGCCCTTTAAAAAATGCATCATATTTTCACTATTGGTCGCCAAATGTGACATGATTATGAAAATGTTATCCCCTAAGAAAATATCCAAACTACCAACAAAACTGTTAAATAAATGAAAGACCCATCTATCACTGTTACAAGAAATAAAATGAATAACCTGCAGGGAGCTATGGTGGGACCACTTGTATCCTATGCTGTGATGATGTGGATCGGTATTGCTAAGTACAGTGTGATAGGAGTAAAGGAAAAATTGGACTTCCCTTCAGAAACCTGTTCTGCTAATCTTAACCTAACGACTCCCTTGCCATTTATGACCTCCATGATCCAAGAGAATCTAACTAGCTTTAATTTTTCCACGCCTTATTTCGACCAGACTGTGATACCCACCAATATTTGGACTGCTATCACAACACAGGCAACTGAAGTAGCCGAAGAGAGGTGAGACTTAGTACAATAAGCTAAGCATTCAACTTTATTTGTTGATGCTGTATACTGCAGAGTAATATTTCAAACTAAAATTGATAAAATTTAAATTATAAAAAGATAAAAGAAATCATAATTCCTTGCATTACGTCACCAATATATGTGTATGCACCTAATATAATAAATGTACTTGGTTACTGTGTGATCCTACTTTTATGCAAATTTGGTTCTTTGTTCCCTCCAAAATGATTAATTGCTCCTGCAATTGGATTTATACGTGAAAAAATGATGGCACTGGAAACAAAACTATGATGTTTATTTTGCATGTTTGCAAAGAGGTATGCCACACCAAAAAGTTTCATTTACTAGACGTTTAAAGCCTCTCTTTGAAATTTGATTTATCATTGAATAGCCAATTTATATTTAATATCTTGATTTGATAGAAATATCCAAAAAGCGTATGAAGAAGAATGCTTTGTCCCTTGGACAATTTACTTATCTCATAAAAGAATTATGAAATTGAAAATCAAATTTCATTGATATATTTTCTCTAAATCTATGGATGCAGTCCTCAAACATTCTGCTAATGTAAATAAAATGTTTGCAGGGTTTTCCAGAATATGTTATACCCTTTGATGATTCTGTAAAACGTACTCTTATGAATTTTGAATTACATCAAATGCATTATACATGTAAACATAACAAATGCTGTCCAATTTTATTCACATAATTTGACAGTCATTCAAAAACCTACTAGAGTTGTTTACTTTGAGAAAAGATGCTTTCTAAATGGCGTACATTCTTGGTAATGGTTATGTCTCTAGATTGCACGAAATTTCTTAAATTAGGACAGCAGTGCATCGTCGTAGTTATCTTCTGGATTTCTATTTTAAGTAAGTCCGATACGTTAATGATTCAAGTTTGGGTTAAGTAAATTGAAAATGGGTTTAATAATTTCAGTTTCAAAATGAGAGTATTTTGCTTTTTTGATAAATCCATTCTGATTGAAATTCAATTTTTTAGCAGAACTTTTGTGTAATTTTATGACATCACAATTCCAAATTAATCAAAATATTTTCTGAAATATTTCTTGCTAAAAATTCCATTTTTCCAATATCAAATGAGACATTTACTAAAGAAATATATTTAGGCATAAGTTCCTGGCTGTTATTTCAATTTATATATTTTGGGACACCATATACAATCATATTTCATATGATTAAGAATGGAAGAAGATTGCGAAATTGATGAAAATTGAAAATTAATGTTAAACCTATTCCGATATTTCTTAAATTGATCTTGAGTTGAAGTTTTTTAACCGTATCACTAAATGAATAATTTGCTTGGTGATACTATCATTTTAAAATAACTCAATAAGCAAGTTGCTTTCCCTATGCGAAATTACACCATATTAATAGTAATTTGTTTATCTTTTTTTAATAAAAAAATATTTTTTTTCATCAGGATGGGGTTTAAGCAAGATTGGTCAAATTTGACCCCCCCTTTTTTTAAATGTTTGACCTTATTGTATTTTTTCTTTACATATGATTGCACAACATTTCTTTTTTGCATGAAAGCACTTTCCACCCTGATTTTCCAAATAGTATTGCAACATGTACCAGAACCAAATGTGGTGTAAAAGTGGAGACGAACCAGCTTTTTTACTCACGTTTTAATAAAACCTATCTCTTTCTTCATAATTTGGTCAACTCCTCATGACCTTTATTCAATGCCCTGTTTTTCTGTTCTGTTGATCAGTTCTTTATGACGTCCATTCAACGATCTGTTTTCTGTCTTTTAGATCAACTTTCCATGTCCTATATCAAATTTTCAGTTTTGTATTTTAGTCAACTCTTTATAATCTCTATTCAGTTGTGTTTTATTTGGGTATGTAGGTCAAATTTACATGACGTATATTCAATGTTTTTTTTCTTTGTAGGTCTGTCCTTCATGCTCTCTACTCCTTGTCCTATTTGTGGTACTCCACTCTAGGATTACTTATAGCTGTCATTGTGGGTCTCTCTGTCAGTTTAGCTACAGGTTAATTTATCAGCAATCTAACTTGAAATATCTTTCATGTGTGAGCTCAAAGCTAGAACAGTATTTCTTCATACAACATCTCAGGTTTACATCGCTGTACTTATCATGTATATTGATAAATGCCTTGATTCAAGCTAAAGTATTAGATATTGATCTTTTTGTTTGATATAAGACAGTGCCAAAATAATGAAAACAGATTGTATGATTATGTTCTGTTCTATATTTTCGAAGGACCAATGAAAGCAGACGAAGTAGATCCAAAATACCTAATACCCATCTATGATTGGTTATGTTGTTGTCTACCAGAGACCTGGAGGAAGAAATCATATCATTGTACAAGCTACGAAGAGGTAAATCAAGGCAAATTTTCGTCGCAGTTTTTTCAGCAACTACTCACAGCAGATGCTTGTAATTTTTTAGTACACTCTTTGTTTAGGCATGCCATATGGTGGGATTCATTTTTGTGCAAATTCGATGTCAACTTGCCGTTTATCAGTGTGTCTGTCCGTATCGAATTTCTTCAAAATACTTCATTTTGATTCAATTACCTAGTATCTAATTGAATTATAGTTCTTCAGAAATGTAATAAAATATAATGAAGGATGTTGTTAGTAAAAACTGTTTTCTGTAAATGCAAAGAATTATTGTTATTTTCACAGGTATTTGGCTACTAACATTTGTAAATACCAAAATATTTATCAAATCCTGTATTTCGTTGCATGAAGTTTTCTTTACATCACATTTATATCTGACTTCTATTATGCATTACATTGATCATCTATTCATGCATAAATCCTTAAAAATGTTAATGAAAAAATAATAAATTTATTGTCATATCTAATTTAAGAATAAAAAATGTAAGAATGATTTTTTTTCAGATTTATTTTAATATGTATAATATATATATTGTATAATAATATACATGTATGTATATATTTTTGATAAATCAAATTTTTATTACTATTTTAAATGATATGCTTAGAAAAAACTTAGCTCTATATGCCTTTACCATAAGAACATTTATTAACTAATCATTTGTTTATTTTACATCCCTAAAATTTTCTTCTTATACTTCTCTGTATATCACTGAGATTTTCGAGTTTTTATCATATCCTTTTGTTTAACATGCTAGGACCAGCCCATAAGCAATCCGGATGGAAACACAGAGTCGTTCGCTGATATTAACGTGGTCCTTAAGGGGATTAAAGAGATTAGTAATAGAGATGGAAATCAGACAATGGAAGTTCAGAATTTGTCTGCAAGAGATTTGTGGAAGTCTGATATCAATCATGTTGTCCACTCCCAGTGAGACTAGAGGAACTATACTGGCTAGACAGTAAACATATCATTGTGTTCTGTCCTTTGTATATTGTTAATTAGAGACTGAACGTTGTTAAACTTTAAACTTTTAAGGCTTTCTTGTTAGAATTTATGTTACATCGCAGCTCTGTTAAGGCTGCATAAAGGGGGCGGGGCCTAATTTCTACGGGAAAAGTTTACTGTGACATCACACAAATATAGCAATTCCTCACAGTAACAGAAAATGAAATAATTTGCGAATCTAAACTGCATAAGAGTAATGAACTACATTAAAACTTACCACTGCATTCATTTTTGTCGCTAGTTAAATCCCACACAGCAAGATATAAACAAGTCACTGATCGCAATGCACTTGTCGACATGACGTCATCATGGTAAAGTTTGACGCATTTTATGTGCAGTGAGAGGCGGATCAAGTAATTTTTTCACAGTGAAAAATGCATTTTATTATTAAGCAGAATATTATTTGCAAATCTTAGGTAGACCATTAATACAAATCTGAAACGTTTGTTTAGTGCCATTATATAAAAAAAATATCGAGAGAATGTATTGAATTAATTCTACCGTGTTTTTGTCTATAGGGTGTGCATGTTTCACGCTGAGGTGCCTCATTAAATCGCCTTTTCGCAAGGGCATATACTAAATAGATCTTGACCATTTTTTGAATACACATAACGGACTTATTCCTTAACTTGAAAAATGCTGCTGCTTTCCCGAAATCGATAGCATAATTTGATAAATACATAAAATACTTGGTAAAAGTCACACATATTTCGACATCAGTCAGATAACTTGAAATTTAAACTAATAAAATGCGAATTCTATTTAAAGCAGCGACACTTTTCATAAACTACGAGTTATGTAGAAACAATCCATTACTTTAATTTTTAATTTTAACTAGGGTATGCCCTTGCGATATTGAAATTTGTTTGTGACCTACATACAGTACACATTACATGCATTTATCACGTGACTGTCAAATAACATGACCAAACCAAATTCAGTACAGAGCGGGGTATACAATGTTATTTCAAAGAATGTTAAAGTCATAAGATAATATAGTACCTTTACAAAAATAAATTCAGTTTAAAATGGTATGTATTCATGCACGTTTACATTCTGTTGACTTCTTTCAAGTACGCCTTAACAGTGCTGCGATGTTTTTGACGGCTTTCCCCGTGCCGTCAATGAACAATTTTAAATCTTTTTCTCTGCCCCTTGCAATTGTCCATCGATTAAGTGAAATTGAACGTTTTTAAAATGTAACTCGATTGAACTTATCCTATTACAATTTATATCACAGTTACATTATAGTCAGTGAGTCGTAGATTGGAAATATAAAATAAAACTTTTTTTTTTTAATTTCCTTTTTTTTTTAATTTCTTTTGCGATTTAGTGGGGTATTTTTATTCAGTGTTTTGATATTTGCCGTTTGTAACACATTTATTTTTAAATCTAAGTAAAGTTGGACTGAATATAAGTTCAGATCAGCAACGTGTATGTGCTGTTAAGAGAAAAAGATTCTAAAAGCTTTAAAACTCCTATTCTCAAGAACATAACGATCACGATGAATCATATTAATTTTGAAGCATCTTCTTATATTATATATTTATTGTTCAAAGCATTACCCCTGTGTGCAGGGTAGGACCATCTTTTTTCATGTTACATTTTGCATATTTTATATAAATGGTCAGTGTTTTAGCAAACCATCTAAATTGATAGTTATGATGAGTATGAAAGCTTCAAAATTGTGAAATTCAAGGCTTCTTGGTTAGGAGGTTTTGTGTTAAAGAGGGGTTGCATTAAGTATGAAGTAAATGCATAAATTATTTAAAATATTTCTTTTTAACTATGGGTATTTAGTAGGTAAATTAATTGCATGGTTATGATAATTAAACATATCAAATTACAAAATTTGAAAAAAAAAATAATGATCACTGGTCAGTGCTTTTGTGTGAAGGCATTTTTTTTTATTTTTCTGTGGGAATATGTTGTTTTTTTTTAAAGTGTTTCTCTCTGCAAATAGCAAATATACGCATCTATTGTGTGATTTGGTATAACATTTCACTTTTGTTGATTTTCTGTTCTGTGATTTCTATTCTTATTAGCCTCTTTATGACATTTTGGTATTCAGATTTCTAAAAGTTTGACAAAGTTTGTTGTAAGGTACTTCAATGACTTTCGTCACACTTGATTGAAGAAATTCAACACTTGTAGTTAATAACGATTCTCTGTAATTACTTAAATTCTTTGCCATGTATGGTCACCGATTTTGAAGAAACTTTACCCATTATTAGAACTTGACACCAGAAACATATATCAAATAAAATTTCGTTGCTATGTATCTTGGTTACAATAGTAACATTCAGAAAAGTTGGAAAAATTGAGATTTTCAGCTACTTTGAATCTTTATTAAGCCTTAAAGACTAAGAAAAACAAACAAACCATTCTCACAAAAACATGACACCTTGTTGCCACTTATGCTGTAAATAAACTTTTTAGAATTTATCTGTAAGTAAGTGGTAACCATGGGTACATTTGGAATACATTTTAAATGCTGAAAAACTGTTGCTAAGATTGGGTTAATGCTACAGTGGCTGCAACGTTATTGTTGACAAACCAATCGTGTAGAATCGTTCGTGTAACGTGCGAGATCGTGCGTGTATCAGACTCAATCGTTTGCGGTTTTAATCGTGCGTGATCGTGCGTTAAGAACCGTGTAAATTTCGTTTTGTAAGTTTTTATCGGAATGTTATTTGTTATACAAGCATTTCGCTTGTCTGGTTTTTTTTCAATCCAAATAAAATGGATGAATCGCGATTTACATAATTGGAAGCAGAAAGAACTAATTATCGCTTGGAAATAACCAATATAGTAAGTCGTACAATATTGTGTTCTCGTCAAATAGCGTGATTTTTTGTGATAAACCGTACTTAGATGTTTAAGGATTTTTTTTCTCTGGTGTTAATTATGTTTACTGCTAATTATGGTCAAGTTATTTTTAAAATCAATAGATCAAAAATAGATATTTTACAAATAAATAAATAAACAATTCTCAATGCTTACATAAATATTTAGTACATGTACACGACATGATTGTCGGGGTTTCGTTTATCAGTGTTTATCTCTGGAGCTTACTTTTAATTATTTTTATAATTTCTGCAAATAAATGATTTGTAAATTGTAAATTGATTTGTAAAATAGTTGTTGATTTTAGAGATTCACAAATGGAAACATGGATATAACTTATAATTTAATTTATTTTCATGGCATTTTTTTTCAAACTTATCCCTTTCTGAATATTTAGAGATCCAATCAAAACTCACGGTCCACCTACATGTAGTCATGTACATCTTCTGATAGAATGAAAAAAAAAATCAGTTTTCTTAAGTTGGAGAAATACGTAAATAATTATTTGTAATCTAAAATAATTAATACGTCTTACATGTATTTAGATCCAGAAAAATCCATTTTAATTTTTTTTTTCATTTTTCAAAGTCGATGAAATAATATCAATAATTATTTGAATTCTAAAATAAGTATTAAGCCTTATTTCGTTTTGAAAATATTCATTCCTTAAGAATTTGAACTGTTTTGCGTGAAGAATCGTGCGTTTGCGTTATCAATCGTGTAAGATCGTGTAACGTGTAGAATCGTGTGCGTGAAGGATCGTTCGTGTAACAGATTTTATCGTGCGTTAATCGTGCGGAATCGTTCGTGTAACGTGATCGTTCGTGTAAGTTGTCAACAATAACGTTGCAGCCACTGTAATATCTTGAGGGAAAACAATACAATTCATGACTGGCACATACACATCCTTAGGACCTTGCAACACCGAAAACATAAGAAAAATTTGGATTAATTGTTACTTTGCACTGTAACATTGGAAACAACGTACCAGTTGTTTAAAGTGATATTTGCTTTTTTTTTTGCTGCCTTAGGAATTTACTTACATGTACCTTTTAATCAAGAAACATATTATTTGACTCACCTTGAATAGTATTTATCTGGTAGAACTAACGTTGAATGTCATATATTGATAAAGTTTGTTGAAAAATACAAGACTGTTGCTATGGTTACCAAGAAGGGAAAATGTTCGATTTTGTTCATATATCAATATTAAACCCAATGTGCCAGCTTTTTGCATCCAGTTAGAGATTGGGTGGTAGTCAAAATTGAAAGTCAGGTTAGTTGTTCATAAATATCAATCATCCAGTTTTGGGAATCTACATACAAGGGTACGTTTCCAGGGAAACAGAATATTTTTTTAATGATTTTTATGCATATTTTTCGGCTAATTTCCATAGCAACGCTCTATTTAAAGAATTGGATATATATTTTTTGAAATGTGAAAATTAGAGTCACACCAACGCCTTAAAAAATGATCATCAGTTATATAGAAATGAGCTTTTGAAAAAGATAGGATAAGAATAAATAACTAAGAGAATGAATTTAAAAATCCCTTTGTGGTATTAAAACCATGGCAACCATTGCCAGCCAATAAGAAATAACATATTTCGTCCTTGGTATATGTTACTAGTATCTTTTTTTCCATTATGTGCTTGCATTTCAACCTATAATTGTTTTTATTCTTAAGTGTATTCCTGTATGAAATTAAATGAGCAAAATTATTACTTTTGAATACATTGTTTCCATAGTAACGTATGTAATAGTTGATTTACCAAACATGTTTATCATGCATTTAAGACATCAGGTCTTCAACTTTCAGAAACAGTCATTGCCACTTGTTTGTTTTGCTGCAAACGTTAACTTTGGGACTCTGAATATGTTGAAAAATTCCATTTTTCAAACTTCAGGACATGTTGCTATGGTAACCATGACTCGTAGCAACCAATTTTTGCCTGATTTGGGTTTAGGGTATCAAAGACTTTTTTCATAGAGAGATTGGAGAAATTCTGAGACTATGGGTGCCACAGCTCCTATATAAAAGTTCAAGTCATTACAGAGAATGGCTCTTATTATCAATTAGAAAACACAAGGAGAAATGGGAACACCTTATCAAGATCAAAGCATGGACGTTGAAACAACTTATCTTGATATCATTATTGTTGCCTCAGCCACGAGGCTTCGCCTTCGTCAATATTGATATTTTTCGGGGGAATAACGAAATGATACCTTATTACTTATATTTACATTTGTGACTTATTCATATTTTATATTTGCCTGATTATAATCTTTATCGCGTGAAACGTTTTATTTTTCAAACCCAACGGCACGTGTTTGATCCTCTGATTGCGCGTCGACCCTTTATGACGTCACTGAGAAATTACGTCGAACGTTTATGACGCGAGGAACCCGTGTTTATACGGATATAGATACGCATTGCTTTCAATAGTGTTATATAAAAGAAAACATTTGCAAATGTAAATATTCGTCATTACCTTATTTCGTTGGTGGTGTACGTTTCGTACCTTTCAGTGGAACACACATCTCTAAGTTTTAGTCAAGAAATTAAACAAAAATCATTGAAATTTTTAAAACAATTTTCTATCTATGTAAAATAAAGCAAGTGCTAATGAAACTTTCTTTCATTTTTCTTTAAATCACTTGATTATAATGCATAAATATAAAAGAAAAGGATAAATCATCAGCAGAAATGTAATCACACTTCAATGCGACTTTGTGAACTGAAAGAAAGGATGGCTTTGAATTAATTTGATTAGTCTGAAATTTATTTGTGAAATAAATTTACTTGTCTACGATACTCTTGCACCATAGCTTACATTCCTGTTTTAAACATTATTTTCACACCAAATCTGTTTTTATCATTATTTCCCTCTATTATCTGATAACTGCAATGAATATAAATAAAATATCAAGTTTATTTACTATTGAATGAAAATCATCAATTGGAGAAAAGACAATGAAAGCTTTATTTAAATAAAGACATAAATAAAAAAGTTTTTGATACAGAACAGCTTTATACGTGTCTTCCTCTGAAGATTTTTAACAAGCTGATGGAAGACTAACTTCAAAACCTCATAAGCGCTTAGTATACAGTAGATAAAAAACGTACTATTTTTATATAATCTTAGTCAATTTTAAGCATCCTTAATGGGTTAATACTAACCTCAATTTAGTTCTTCCTCATTTGAGAGGATTTTATAAAAATGCTATTTCTCATTATAGGAGGGTCATTGAAAAATACATAGACTTCTGTCTTAAGTTTCTGAAATGCGACCTCATATTTTAACCGAATTTTGTCGGTATGTTTTGAGAGCAAATCCAAATAACTTAAATAAAAGTCTCTATAGTCATATCCCTGAAAAGGAAATAAAAGGAAAAACGTTTAACCGTTCCAAGTCAGCATTGTTATAAAATC